TCTTAGTACTCATTTCTTTTATTAAAACAGTCAAATCATCAAGTTTTTTATCAAGAGAACCGACATGTTCTCCTAAAATTTTTACATATAAACCCAAATAATTGTTTCGAGAAATCAATTTATTAATTTCTGCGATACTAATAGCTGCAACGTTATCATCAATAAATTTTTGAAAGGCAGTGAAGGTAATACTAGTATTATTAGGTAATATAAAGGGGGCCTGAGGAGGATAAATGGCTTTAGTAATACTACCACTCCCATCTTTATAATATCTTTCTAGTACCTTAATATAAAAGGCAAATAAGTTGTTATAAACCAAGGAACAAAATACATAATTTGATTATGCAAATCACAAGTTTCATAAAATTCTTGAGAAATACTATTCAAATCATCTTTGCTATAAGCATAAAAAACCACGTTTTAAACTGGCTCCATTTATCACTAAAAAATTCCTTTTGAATATATTTTCGTGCCCGAGAACCGGGGCTAAAATCAATTTGGTGTGGAATCATTAAGTACTATTGGGGTCGAAATCCATCTCGGATACAGAAGGAATATCCTTATCTGAAATATTGTCATTGTCCTGAACAATATTTGTTTGAGGGTTAACTTTAACCCTTTCAACCCTTTCAACAGGCTTATACTAACTTTACTAGTAATAGGGTGTAAAGAGGTTGCACGATTGCGAGCTGGACCGTAGACTGGTTCAACAGGTGAAATATGTTGAATAGTAGGTAGAAGTCTATGATTAGAAAACGAATGTCTATTATAAATAGTAGACTTATCATCAAATTGAATACAAATCCCACCATCCGAATTTTGAGTAACATGTGAAAATTTAGTATTCGACAAGTCGTTAGTAATCTGACTTTGGGATATAACCGAATTTAAAGTCCAAGTAGTTGGGAAATTAATTTCTTCGCACCTAATAGGTCTCCTAATGGTGACCTTGGACCTTGCAAAGTTGGTTACTACCAGTATGGTCTGATCTGATGTATCATATAACTTACATCTAGGATTCAAAGTAGATAATAATTTAAAATAAATCCTATAAGACAGACATAGAAGTTCAGAACCAGGTGCATAATTATAACCATGCGTTTTCACTTTTAAAGTCAAGGCATCAAGAATATTAACATCAGAAAGAGATAGTTGCAGATTGGGTTGAGTATTAAAATATACTGGACCATAGGCCACAGTAGATTCAATCGAACCCATCAGAGACTGTCTGAAGTTCAGATTTCTAGCATCTCTAAGAGTTGCTAAAAAGGTCTCTGGTAATCCTTTAAGGGTTAACGGTTTAAACACAATTTGAACCATACCAATATGCAGATAATGATAATGATTTTATATAAATCTATATCGTGTTTGTTTAACAAACGAATGTAGTAATGCGGGATGTGACATCTCACTTTCGAGCTCTCATTAATTTATTTATGGCATATTTTCAAGTACGAAAATATGGGGTGTAACATAATTCCCCCTTTAGAACATTCATCCTCGAATATTGACTGATGCGCTTATCGTTCTCATATCCCATAGCTCTTGGGAATACTTTTGTAGTTCTCTTGCCATCTAGGCAACTATTCTATGAATAAGTCCAAAGGTCAGGGCATTCCCCCCCCCCCCCTTTAGGCCTCTTTCTCATGCCATGACTTGTGATCGAATTCCTTTCAATATCGTAACTGTTGCTACCTTCCATCATGCGGCTTCTACGATACTGACCTTGTAAGTGTGCCTATGTGACTCTCCTCTCCTTTTCCTCCAGTTTTTAGCCAATCCTGAAGTTCTTTGCTTGGTATTTTGTCGAACTTATGAATATTGATATATCTTATTTTATAGACCTGGTTATCCATTCGTATGACTTTAGTGCATCTACATAGGTCATACTAAACCATAACTCTTACCTTGATTTCTCGTTACTGAGGTCTACTACCAAATGCCAAGTTACATTCATTGCTTATCCCATACGTATAAATCTATGTCCTCTAATGCTTCCACATTAATGTTCATCTAAAGAATGATGACCTAATCTCCTCTCATACTTTATAACTTTTATCCATCCATTGTTGATCCACCTAAATTTTGATCCCTAATCCACGCTTGATAACTTAACCTTCTATGTAATATTACTGCTAGGATTCATGTTTTATCGAAGAACATCTAAAATGCTTAGATTGATCCACCTGGGGCGATATCCTACTTTCATAACCGTATCTCACGGCATCCCAATGTGATTCACCTTGTGTGGGTATTTTAATCTTGTCCAAGTCATTAGATCCCTTTCTTTTATTCATCAGATCATTAGTCAATCGAAGGCACAAACGTTATTTTTTTGTCTATAATAATTACACCCTTATTCTATTAATAGGGCAGCATTCCATATCTTCTGAATGTTATTAGTCTTAGACTCCTTTGAGTTCATTCAGGTTATACTGAACTTTCTATAACTTAGAGAAACCATTAGCTTTCTTGTTTTCATGGGTTTTAATCCCGAGGACTTATCCGTTCTCATCACCATCTCACTCGCCCTTTCTCATTCCTACTCCTGTCATAAAACCTTGTTGCTTTACTATACATTAGCTTGGGACCTATACATATCTATTTATACTATTCGCGGTCTTCCTTCACCTAGCTTGCACCATAGATTTTCTTATGTTGTTCTGGAACATCAAGCAAGACATCACATCGTCTCTAACTATTCTTTACTCTCATAATCAGGCTTTTCGATACCTAGACCATAGGCTAGAAGATATGCTACTGACGCCGCTGCTATCATTCTTGGATATTGAATCCCTGTGTTTCTAGCCTTCTATCCGAAGTATGGACTATTCACAGCCTTCTGCATTTGAGTTTCTTGTACGTCGTTCACCTTTACCTTACTTACGCTAAAATCTCGCATCACATCTTGTATCTCTTTCATAGCCTCCCTTTAACGTAGGTATGGTTCATATCCACAACTTGGAGCTTTATTATAATACTACAATCGGTGGGAGCTTCATACTGACTTCTTATGAGGCTGTTACTTTTCTAACTGGCTTTATCGTAGAGTTGTCATAGACTATGGTTGTTGTAATATCTCTTTTCTAGCTTTGATATTAAGGATGGTCCTGCAATGTTCTCAATCACAATTTCTATAATTCTCTAGGTCTAATAATCAGATTCCTGATTTACTTAGTTGATGTAATCTTTAGTTTCCTCTTCCCTTTGATCAACCTTCGTGTAGGCTTAAGCTATCTTTCGATATGCGGCTCATGGTATTAGATATTACTTTGGTCCTTCATGGACGCTATAGAATATCCAGGATATAATCTTTTAACAATTCAATTCCTTGTTTATAACCTGGACCCAATTCTTTCTTTTATCTTTTATGGCTGCATGACTGTCAAAATATATGCTGCATGGATAATACTCCAAACCCTTAAGTGCATTCATAACGTAACTAGTTCCGGATCATTAATCGAATAATTCTTTTCGTTCCTTCTCAGCTTTCTTTAAATGTACGCTATTACTTTTCCTGGTTCTTTTGCATCCTTTTTGTGCGCCGACTTAGCTTATCTTAGCTCCCACACATGCCAGAGTTTTCGTGCAACTCCTATGATATCGAATATTAATTTTAATTTTACTTACCATTCATTAGACAAGGTAAGTGCCACTTTCCTTTGGAGTGCTTACAATGTTGTTGCGAGACTGTTGTTACATGACTATTTACTTTTTAGGTCGTTGCGATCAAATTGAAGCCTTCTTTCTTATCTCCCAGCTAGTCTTTCGTTGTAGTACTTAGGGAGAACCCTTGACTCTCGTAAAGCTGTGAGCGTTTTACGGATCTTTTTGATGTCCTTCCTTGCCTATAATCATCCGTAGTTGCTTACTGTATACGGCAAATCCGGGGGCCCGATTTCCCCTTCATATGGTCATCTCGCGGTCATGCTCTACGAAGCTCGAATCCAAGGTCTAGACTCACCCTCGGGGGTCGTCAGGAATCGATATGGAGGGCATCGCATTCCAGCGGCTATAGCAGGCTACAGCAGGCAAGAGGGGAGTTCCCAAGGCATACGACTTAATCTAACAAGGTTGACCTATCCGGGGCCTATTTCAAGATGTCATGTCCAGCCATCCTATCTCCACGCCTTCATAGTTAACATGTTTTGTACTATAACGGATTTCCCTCATATATAAAGGGGATTCCCATCACTTTGTAAAGGGCTCGGCTGATGTTGCTCCAACTATTCTCCACAAGATCAATAATATCTCTCTCTCTCTCTTTCTTCTCTCTAACTTGCTCGTTCTTACTAGCTCGAGGCCACTCTTAGAATTTATTACCTTCATATTTGTTCTTCATTTATTGCTTGATATTGGCCATAAAGAGCCTTGTTTAATCATATCTTAACTGTTATCCCATTCCCGATTACCCCCGATACCTCGAGATTGAGCCGAATATCGACCCTGAGGCTCCTTCATCGACCTGTCCGAAGCTCGGGCAGCAAGTCTCCTGGTTTGATTACTGCCCCGTTTTAGCTTCTATCTCTCCGTTAAACATCATACTCTTAGCATCAACTGCTCTAACAACTAGCATAAAAATAGATCACATATTTTAGAACCCCATTTACAAATTTAATTATTGTTACCGTTTTCACGGTAAACAATTTGGCGCCCACCGTGGGGCTAAAAATAATAGTGATTATTTTCTGGCTAGTTTCATTACACAAACGCAAATTATCTTTCACACTTTTTCTGGCCCAAGATCTTCGATTTCATGACACAGCACCTAGCTCGGCGAGTAAAGTGGGAAACCGGAACCTCGAAAACAACAGAGAGAAGGACACGACTATCTTAGAGGCCAATACACCACCGGATTCAACCCGGACGGAAGGGAAGGTTCTCCAACATAACATACACATGATTATTAGGGGAACCAACGTTCCCCAAGGACCTATGTTCAAACGAACGGCAATGACCGCTACGGAAGAAGGATCGACCCGACAATGCATACCAGAAGACATCCTCGTATTCAGTGAGGAGGACCTCGAGGATATGATGGAATCGCACAACGACGCGCTAGTGATCTCGTTTCTCTTAAACAACACCAGGATAAAGCGCATTTTCGTGGATCCAGGAAGCTCGGCCAACATAATCAAGTCAGAAGTAGTAGAACAGCTGGGGCTGCTCAATCAAGTTGTTACCGTCCCTCGAATCCTCCACGGCTTCAACATTATCGGCAAAGTAACGAAAGGAGAGATCACCCTCCTGATCAACATATCTGGCGCAATCCAGAGCACCGAGTTCCAGGTCATCGACGGCGACATGAGATATAATGCCTTAACCGGTAGGCCTTGAATACATAGCATGAGGGTAGTACCCTCAACCTTGCACTAGGTGATAAGGTTTCCCACGAGGTATGGCATCACGACCATACATGGAGAACAGCGGGCAACGAAAGAAATGTTCGCAGTCCACCATGAGACGTCAACACCCACATGCCCGGTCTCGGATGAGGAGGGAAGCGTACAGACCCTCAAAGATGACAAGAAAGACTTCTTCGCCCCCGAACCTTCATCGCCCCCCGTGGAATTAGATGCAACCAAATAAACAGTCGAATAGTTGGAGTAGACTGTTTTGATCAAGCACCTCCCTGATCGCAAGGTATACCTGGGAACGGGGCTGACCCCCGAACTCAAGACAGAGTTTATTCAATTTCTTAGTAACAATATTGACTGTTTCGCCTTCCTACCCAGATATGACAGAAATCTCGCCAGAAATAACCTCCCACAAGCTGAGCATTGATCCCAAATTCAATCTCGTAAAGCAAAAGATAAGGCCGCAGTCCGAGGTAAAACATGCCTTCATCAAAGAGGAGGTAGCGAAACTTCTTATAATCGAATCCATTAGAGAGGTAAAGTATCCAGAATGGCTGGCTAACGTAGTAGTAGTGCCAAAAAAGGGGAACAAGCTAAGAATGTGCGTAGATTATAAAGATTTGAATAAAGTGTGCCCCAAAGATTCCTTCCTGTTGCCTAATATCGATCGTCTGATCGATGCTACGGCCGGCTACGATACCCTCACTTTTCTCGATGCCTACTAGGTGTATAATCAAATCCAGATAAACCCCGAGGTTAGAGAAAAGACCTCGTTTATCACAAAGTATGGTACATATTGACGTAACGTAATGTCCTTCGGGCTAAAAAATGCGGGAGCAACGTACCAGCACCTAGTTAATAAAATGTTCGAGCATCAAATAGGTAAATCAATTGAGGTATATATTGATGATATGATAGTAAAATCCCTGCACATAAAGGACCATTTTACCCATTTGTAGAAAACTTTCAACATCCTCAGAAGCTACAACATGAAGCTCAACCCCAAGAAGTCTGCCTTTGGAGTAGGTTCGGGCAAATTCCTGGGCTTCATGGTTTCAAACAGGGGGATCGAGATCAACCCTAATAAAATAAAAGCCATCGAGGAGATCGCGGTGGTGAACAATGTAAAAACCATTCAATGGCTGACAGGGCGGATAGCGGCCCTGGGCAAATTCATATCAAGATCATCGGATAAAAGCCACCATTTCTTCTCCCTACTCAAAAGAAAGAGCAACTTCGAGTGGACTCCAGAATGCCAACACGCCCTAGAAGAACTGAAACGGTAACTGACTAGCCCGCCTTTGCTGCACACACCCAAGGAGGATGAAATGTTGTACCTATACCTGGCCGTGTTCGAAATAGCAGTAAGCGGCGTACTAGTTCGAGAAGAGCAAGGTACATAATTACCTATTTATTATGTAAGCCGCACCCTAGGGGACGCCAAAACCCAGTATCCCCATCTGGAAAAATTGGCTCTCGCACTGATAAGCGCCTCGCGCAAGCTGAAGCCTTACTTTCAGTGTCACCATATTTGCGTTCTGTCAACTTATCCCCTCCGGAGCGTACTGCATAAACCTGAGTTATCGGGTTGATCGTCCAAATGGGCCATTGAACTATAAGGGTATGATATCGAGTATCAACCTCGGACGACCAACAAGTCCCAAATCCTGGCACACTTCGTGGCTGATTTCTCACTAGCCCTCGTGCCCGAGGTAGAGAAAGAACTTTTATTGAAATCAGGCACGTCCTCTAGGGTATGGACCCTGTTCACATATGGTGCTACAAACATAAGAGGATCCAGGCTCGGTATAGTCCTAAAGCCGCCCGTCCGAAGCATAATCAGACAATCCATAAAAATCGCAAAACTAACTAACAGTAAAGCCAAGTATGAGGCTATAATTGCAGGTTTAGAATTGGCCAAAAGTTTGGGGGCCGAGACTATCGAGGCAAAATACGATTTGCTCCTCAAAGTAAGCCAAGTGAACGAAAGCTACGAAGCCCGGGAGGACAGGATGCAGAGGTATTTGGAAAAATTCCAAATCACATTACGTTGCTTCAAAGAATGGACCTTAGTCCATGTACCCCGAGATCAGAACAGCGAGGCCGATGCCCTCGCAAACCTGGGATCTTCTGCTGAAGAAGAAAACCTGCTCCCCGGAGCTGGCGTCCAATTGTTCAAATTTGTGGTCGAGGAAGGCCACGCGGAGATTAACTCCACCAGCCTGACATGGGATTGGAGAAAAAAATATATCGTTTATCTAAAGGACGGGAAATTACCCGCAGATCCAAAAGAATCGAGGGTCCTGCGAACCAAAGCAACCCGGTTCTCGCTCGACGAAAATGGGACTCTGTACAGGAGAACTTTCGATAGCCCCCTAGCGGTATGCTTGGGACCGGGAGGCACAGATTATGTGCTCCGAGAAATCCATGAGGGCACCTGCGGAAATCATTCCAAGGTCGATTTTTAGTCTGAAAGGTCATCAAAGCGGGCTACTATTGGGACATCATGGAAAAAGACGCCAGGGAATTCATCCGAAAATGCAACAAGTGTCAGAGGTTTGCTCCCATGATCCACCAGCCAGACGAGCAACTACATTCCATTTTATCACTATGGCCATTCATGAAATGGGGAATGGACATCGTTGGCCCTTTGCCAACAACACCAGGTAAGGCTAGATTCATTCTGTTTATGACTGATTACTTTTCAAAATGGGTAGAAGCGCAGGCCTTCGAGAAAATAAGAGAGAAGGAAGTTATCAATTTTATATGGGATCACATCATATGCCGGTTCGGGATCCGATCCGAAATAACATGCGATAATGGGAGGCAGTTCATCGGGAGCAAGGTAACATAGTTCCTTGAAGACAACAAAATCAAGAGAATCCTGTCAATGCCTTACCACCAATCTACAAACGGCCAGGTCGAATCTATGAATAAAACCATCATTCAGAACTTGAAAAAGAAATTGGAGAGCACCAAGGAAAATGGAGAGAAATGATGCCCGAGGTGCTGTGGGCATATCAGACAACTTCAAAATCGAGCACCGGGGAAACACCCTTCTCTTTAGTATATGGCGCCGAAGCACTGATACTAGTGGAAGTCGGGGAACCAAGCGCCAGATTCCAGCACACTGATGAGGGCTCAAACAATGAGGCCATGACAACGGCCCTCGAGCTACTCAACGAAAGACGGGAAGCCTCGCTGATTCAGATGGCTGCCCAGAACCAGAAAATTGAAAGATACTACAACAGAAGAACAAATCTCTGATATTTCGAGATCAGGGACTTGGTCCTAAGGAAGGTTACTCTCAACACCCGAAACTCTAATGAAGGGAAGCTGGGCCAGAATTGGGAAGGGCCATATCGTGTCCTTGGGATAGTTGGCAAAGGATCCTATAAGCTTGGCACCATGGAGAGCGAACGACTTCTGAGCAACTGGAACGTATCAATGCTTCAGCGGTATTACTGCTAGGGCGTCCGATCGCAAAATCCCACAAATATCCTCAAGCAAACGTCGCACTCTTTCCTTCGATCGAATTTTTTATCCCGAAACGAGTTTTTACCGGGCAGATTTTTAACGAGGTAACATCCACGCATTTCTTGAGAAATGACAAACGAGATTCCAATAGGAAATGATGTACCGGGCCAAATAGTCGAGCGAACCGTGTCCGCCTGAGTAGGGCTTACGGCAACCCAGCAACGTGTACTTACACCAAGCAATTAAAGAATATCTTTTCAACATTTCTTACTCTGAAAAAGAAAAATTTCAGCATGCTCGCAGCAGAGGTCCCTCTAACGAATGAGTCCCGAGATACTCGGAGACTTAGCGTCAATAATTTGGCACCTGCACGACCCCAGGGTCGGGACTTCGGGCTCATAAGGCCCCGACAAGGTAATTCCGAGCTCACGAATAATAGCCGTCGAGCCTAAGCAAATTTGATGACTCGGAGACTGTCGTCAATCGCCATACACTAGAAAACCCGAGGCCATAAAACCCCGAGCGGGCAAACTTGGTATAACCAAATCTATTTTACATAGCAACAAAATTGTAAGACCTCAACAAGCATGATAAAACTGTAAGACCTTAACATGCATGAAAATTTTGTAAGACCTTACTACATGCATAACACTTAATCCCGAAGTTTAGGCTATATATCGCATTTGTAAGAATCCCAAAAAGTCATACCCTCGGTTGTAGACACCTAAACTATCACTCGGGATCAAAAATGGCTCCGGCCAAACATATATGACTACGGTCAAAACGGCTGCTCCAGCCAAATTAACGCGACTCTGGGATGCCCGACCGTTGCTAATAAAATCGTATGCCATTATTTTGAATATACTTCGAAAAGAACTAGTTAAAACAGGCTTCCCTCAACAGGAAAATGAGCTTCGACCATGTCAGCTCGAAATCACAAGGCTTTGAGCTACTCAGCCTACGAGCTAAACCTTCCGAGGTGTTCGAATATCACTACTAACGACTTGAAATCGAGGTTCTTCCCGAACCGACGACGGGTCAGGCCAAATTATTTCAAAAAGACCTTAACGAGAGGAAAACAAAGCCTATAAATATACCCACAAGCAAAAGCATAAGAGCCATTATCGCCAGCCAAACGAGACTCTGGGCCGCAAACTAAAAGGTCGCAATGACCAAACAGTGTAAGAGCCACCGTCATCAGCTTGAAAATTGAAAACTTGAGGATTAAAATGAACTCGAGTCGTAACCCGATTTGGAGATTAGATCCAAAATAGTTAACTACACATGCCTAAGGGCACAACGTAAGTGCCATTGTCGCCATCCAAATAAGCCTCAGGGCCACACATTTAAAAGGTCGCTTCGACCCAAGGCTTAAGAACCATCGTCATCCGTCCATGCAGGCACAAAAAAACTTGAGGGTCAAATAAAGCTCGAGCCGCAATGTGACTCAAAGACTGAACCCAAAAATAGGCAAAATACAAATGCCCAAAGGCAAGGAATAAG